TTTACAATTATAGACTAAAATTAATCTTTCAAGACGAATACAATTAATACTGATTTTTCAGTCCTAACACTCTCAAATCTTAATCCTTCATTGTTTCTCAAATCTCAATCTTTCAAATCTAGATACACTCGATTGCATTTGTATTTCTTCAAATCAAGTTTTGTTGAAATTATCTCAAGTTAGTTATGTAAAGATGTTAATCCTTTGGTAAACGGTGAACTTTCAAGTTTTGAATTTATTGTCAATTTGGTTATTTGGCATGAAATTTGATATCGAATCAATTTGGTTAGCAAAAAATTACAATCTAAAGATATGTTACTTGATGTTGTGGTCAATAACTTAGAGGTATTGGTTTGTTATTTTGAGAAATATAGAGAGACTCGACTTACTCCTGTCATTATTAATGAAGCTAGACATATTGCAAATGAAACTGGAATTGAGCCTGAGTTTCCTATAAAACGTTCTTATTTTAGAAAAAAAAAACAGTTTGCTGAGATTCCAAATACGGAAAGAGAACAACAATCTGATCAAGAAACATTTAGAATTGATTATTTTCTTGTTTTGGTTGATATGGCTCTATCTCAATTGAAGCCTAGATTTGAGCAAATAAAAATTTTTGAATCGATTTTTGGTTTCTTGTTTGATGGGTCAAGGTTGGTTTATTTAAATGATGATGAATTGAAATAATTATTGTATAAATCCTGAAGTTGCATTAACAAATGATGATGATTGTGATATTGATTGGAAGTATTTGTTTATGGAACTGCAAATTTTGCAGGAAATGTTACCGTCGGAAGCATATAAAGGAGAAAAGTCATGGACATCAATTGAGATTTTAGAGTTTGCAAAGAATATGCATATGTTTCCAAATGTGTTGCTTGCATATAGGATTTTGCTGACTGTAGCGGTCACGGTAGCATCTGCTGAAAGAAGTTTTTCAAAGCTAAAGTTATTAAAGTCATATTTGCGGTCTACCATGAGTCAAGAAAGGCTAAACGAGTTAGCAATTTCGAGTATTGAAAGTAAATTTTTTAACGAATGTTGAATATGAAAAAGTAATTGATATTTTTGCATCAAGAAATACACCAAGACATCGTTTTAGGTGATATATTTATATTTTGTAATTTGGGGTTTTGGTTTTTATATCCCCCTTTGTACTTTTCATTTTAATTAATAAAATTCGGCATAAGGTTGAGCTGCCTAGTTTGACTAGGTTCCAAACCCTTTAGTAAAATCGTATCTTTTGTCGTTTCATTTGCTTAAAAAATAAGCATAGGAACATTTTTTAGCATCTTCGCACAGGGCATAAAAAACCTCAGGAACGGCACTGTTGGTAGAGCAACTTGCTGATAACATGTTATAGAATAAACAAAATAAGACAACATATAAAAGTAGGGAGTTTGTAATTCTTATTAATAATAAGCTATTTAAATAGAGATGAGTTATAAGTAGATAACTACAAAATATTTCAGTTCTAATTTAACTCTGATACATCTATTTATATTTCTATCTCTATCGTTATACCCAAAATTACCCTACAACAATTCACAAGAAAAAGACTAATACGCCCTTATTGATGTCATGCATAATATAAACTATTGAAAAATTTTAGACCATAATTATCAAAGATATTACGTAGGATATTCAATAATATTTTTTTCGAGCTGACTAATCCCAAGGCGACCACCTGTTTCACAGATAATTCTAAGTCATCGCATTTGAACTTTCATGACCACAAGGGGATTTTTATTCTTCTTGGATTTGAACCTCAGACCTCGGGATACTTTTGATCTTTGGATATTCAATAAAAACAACACTTATTCGTATATTATACATATTATATAATACACAGTATAACGATGTGCTATATTTTATGTTGCATATTTAAATACGTCACCTATACATTTAACGAGCACGATATAAGTATACGCTATCTAGGTAGAGGTCGTAATAGCACATTCACGAGGAAATCCTTGCGGAAATCGCTTAGTATCGGTGCAATAGTTGTATATCATATGATTTTTTTGCACCCGTTTCATTTTCTCATCACGACTCGAGTCCAATTGCGTCAAAACGCCAGGTCTAACATTAAAGTTGCGATACGAAGCCGTGAAAGGGGCTTGGCTCCAATCGGTCTTCACCAACCCGCCTCTCGTTGCCCACTCATCGGCGTTCCACAAGCTCGAATATATTCTCATCGGTTGGCTTTTCGGAAACGGAACACCGATTGCCTCCATGTTCTTGAATTCTCTTATCGGAGTTTCATCCACTAGAAAACTGGAGCGCCAAAATTAATATCCGTTTAGCCAAAATACTTCAAAGTCTCCGTATACAAGAATCGGGTTATAAGTCGTTAAATTGTTACATACGATACCGTTTTGGTGGACTAAAATCTTATCCGGTTGTAAATGATAGTGTTGAATTTTACTGCTAAGTGAAGTAACTTACAGTATGGTTCGAGGAGTCCAGAGGATGGAGTAAGTGTGGAAATCGGAAGTGGGATCGAACCACATTCGAAATTGTTGCTCTCTTTCACCTTTGCCATTGGTGTAGACGTTGGTATGAAGTGTGTAGGGTTCGCCACTCAAATTCCCCAAGAACTCGAAGTCGATTTCGTCATGGTTGGGTCCTTCTGATGACATCTGTACATGTTAACTCATATATATCAACAAATTAACAGGAAAGGTTATATTTGGGACGGCTTTGATTGTGAAGCATCAGATAATTTCTTGCATGTATATACAGAGGATAGGGGATACTTTCATAACTTTTACAAATAAACAGGAAACGAAAATCATATAAATGAACTATATATGTGTTCATATGTGAATCCGTTAATTAGTTCAAATGTGAACTATTTAATTGATTGTGAACTAATTAACTGATTCATATATGAAACTCGTTGAAGCCACCTGATCATATATGAATAGTTAATTAGTTCACATATGAATCACATCGTTTCATATATGAATCAGTTGATTAGTTCTTATATGGATCACAAGGATTCATATGTGAATCAATCGATTAACTTTTATATGGATCACAGGTTCATTTGTAAATCAGTTAATTAATTCATATATGATTCATTTGTAGATCAGTTAAAATAGTTCATATGTAAACCACATTAGTGTATATATGAACCCGTTTATAACCTATTTGTAAAAGTAATAAAATTATATGGGTTTTTCGGATACCAACAATTTTTGACGTGAGAGAACATTAACTAGTTAAATCTGATCTTGATCGTATAAACGACTAGAATTACATTCTTTACTTATCAAATATTTACGACTTCTCAAAATAACTTTTTATTGTACACCAAATTAAATATATCGTGTCTATATATATAGTAAACGATCAACCGGCCGGAAAAGTGATGAGCATACATAGTAGGCGGTGACAGTTCCGGCGGAGTTTCTGGGAACAAGTTTCAGTTGCATGTCGATTCTGCCGAAGAGATACGCTCTCTTGGACTGAAATCCGGAGCCGGAGACTCTATCGAGAGAGAGTGTAAGAATGTCGCCGGCACCGGTGATCTGGCCACGGCCACCACCCCAAGTTATGTCGAAATCGTTGTTGAAGTTGGTGGCATTAACAAGCAGCAAGAGCTGTATGATTATAAGGAGGAAGAAAGCGGTGGTTGATCGGGGGTGGAAAGAAGAAAACGCCATCATATGACACTACAGTCTACAGTCTACACTACCTTGAAATGAGATATCAAGTGGTCACCTGTGCAGTGTTATATATATATACATATATATATATATATATGTGTGTGTGTATATATATACAGAAACACGTGTAAGGAGATGTTGCATCTCCATAAATATATTCTGATTTTGTGTGTACAACAAAGTAGCTTTAATTTATGAGTTCCCATTTAAAAAGCAGCCTTGTCCTGGTGTCGACCTTCAAAACGAATGATTATATTTAAAAATGTTCGTATTAATAATAAAATCGGTATAAAATATTTAAATGTAATAATAAACTGTTTTATAAGATATTAAAATTTAATTTTATTAATAATTAGAATTGTATCCGTGCAATGCAGCGAGATAATCTCGATTTTAATATTTTGTTTTATACTATCTTTGTCGATGTTATTAAATGATTTTATGTGGTATTAGAAAAACGATAATGTTTTTTTTTGAATAAAATATTTATTTGAAGGTATAATAAATTTAAAAAAAAATTATATTGATTTTAAGTATTAAATTAAATATTTAAAGGTTTTTGTTTTTTTTTTAAATTTCTTTCATTCATTTTTTATTTTTTGGTTTAATAATAT